TCTTATAGATCTATCTTTGATTGTTTGTTGTATATATATATATATATATATATATATATATATATTATAGAGCTATTTGGTGCGTGTACCTAATCAAAATCAAGTTTTTAGGTGTTGCCCATATGTAGTCCTGTTTTGAACATAATTCAATTTGCATTTTCTTTTTTTCAGATGCGGGGTCTCTTTTTACTTGTGGTGATGGTTCTTTTGGTCAGCTTGGACATGGTGATTACAAATCACATTGCTCTCCTGTGAAAGTTGCATACTTTGTTGACAACCATGTTGAACAGATAGCATGTGGTATGCGCCATTCGCTTGTCTTATCGAAAGGTAAGTGGAAATTTATCTTTTTAGTTCAGGTTCTCTAATATGAACAAGGATGAATAGGGTATATGTCTTTTCTGACTATGTCATTTTCGCCTGACAAATTCTGAATGTGAAACTCGGGAGGAAAATCTTGCTTGGAGATTAGAGATTATTTTTTACCTTTGTTAGTTGAATCAGAACGACTCAAAAGAGTTTTTTAGTGGAAACGGGAGTATAAAAAAGACAGAAGATATGTGGAAATTCATTCACAAAGACTCAGTTTCAATTGTTAGGAGACTTGCTTGCTTTTTCTCTGGATATGTTACAAGCATAATCCTGATTACTCCTGTTCAGTCTATTACTTAATAGCTAAAATCGAATCTGATGCAGGTCGTTCTGGAGATCGAGTTTATGCATTTGGGTCTGGGAAACGTGGTCAATTGGGTATCTCAAAGGATAAGATCAATAAAGTCAATCTTCCTGAAGTTACTTGCGGATTGGAAGGCACCAAAATTGCAAGTATAGCTGCAAATGGCGATCACAGTGCAGCATTATCTGGTGGGTCACTCGAATTTTCTGTGTCTTGATCTGGCAATAAACTTAACCTCTAGTTTTTTAGCCTAAATTGTAGCTTTACTTCTCATCTAAAACTTTTAATCGGTTAAATGATTCAATGTATTTAATGTGATGCTGAAGCTTGTAGAAAGCATCGCTTTGAGACCATTTATTATTATCTACGTCTATTTGGTTTCTACAATTCTCGCTTATTTATAACCCTATTTGTATCTTGCTTATCTTATCAGCTGATGGTCACCTTTACACTTGGGGAAGAGGGTTTCCTGGAAATTCAGATTTTCACCGTCCTATGTATGTACCTACATTGTTTCGCCTTACCAGCACTGCTCTTGGATGGAATCATGCTCTTCTATTAACAGGTTTGAACATTCGTTAAGTATGTTACTAATTGTGATTATTTCTTCCCGTTTATTCTCTCCATTGATCTTCCAGGTGAGATATGCAGGTAATGGAGAAGCTTTGATGCTTGGCGGCAACCACCACGGAGTTCTCAGTAACCCAGATAAACTAAGTTCAGCAAAGCTCTTACAAGGTAACTAAATAAATTTAATCAAAGAACTTTCATGACATCAATTTTATTGATATTCTTTAAAAGTGATCATAACTTTGTTGCACTATTCTGTTTTCCCTCGGAGAAGGAAGGTAAAATCTGCAAATTACTGTATTTAAGTTTTAACAGGCAGACAACCAGTGCTTGAAAGTAGGGATGATTAAATTCTTACTGTTAACTTACCCGAACTGCGTATACCTTCTATGTCAGATTCAAAGGAAGGCGTTCTAGAAGACGTCCCTGGTCTAGAAGGGCAAAAAGTTGTGCATATTGCAGCTGGAGCTGAACACTCTGCTCTTGTAACTGGCATGTTATTCATCACTATTGCTATAGCAGCAGGATATAAGTTTTGCTATTTTTCTTTATCTCATGTTACCATTTCCGCGCTGTTGTGATGGCAGAGAATGGACTTGTCAAGACGTGGGGTTGGGGTGAACATGGTCAGCTTGGTTTGGGAGATACATGTGATCAAACCAGCCCTCAAACGGTAAATCTTTGCCAGGATGGTCCAAATGAGGCTGCCAAAATTGAGGTTTATTGCGGCAGTGGGTTTACAATTGCCATAAGAACTCCAACTGTTCTTTCCGGGACCTGATTAACCTTCTTTGTGGATGTGACCTTGTTTAAGCAGTGAATATTCTCACGCAGGTCATTTCCCAATACTTGCTAATCATAAGAAATAAAGAAAATGACATCTACATATTTTAGTTATACGAAAATATTTCCTTGCAGATCTATAGTGTAATTTTTTTAATAACATCTATGGTGTAAATTGTAAATACCTACCTAACACTTAATTTTTTTTCCAGTTTAAACACACTTTGATTTCTGTTTGAAGTTTTTTAAAGCCCTTTGTCTAATCATAGTTCGTTTCTCGAAAAGAAGATTCATGTATAATGTATTGCGAGATTTAAGTCGAGCTTGTATCGTAAAATATATAAGTATATGAAAATACATGAGCATATATTGTGCACACAATAAAGTTAGAATTTAGCAGAATCTATTGAATTGAGATTCATTAGAAAGAAGTACAATGAAACTTTTGCTACAACAAAAGCAAACTTTTCGATAAAGTTCGAAGCTAAAATGAAATCTATGGTAATGAACTTTTTGATCTTTTATTTTTAAAGTTTTGGTACCAAGGAACTTCAATCTTTTATATTTCGTATTTCGGTTTCTTCATGGCTCTACTTCTACCAAATTTGTCATCTTTAATTTTTAAAGCCAACAAATTTGTCATCTTTAATTTTTAAAATTTCGGTTTCTTCATGGCTCTACTTCTACCAAAACTCAAAAACAAACCTCTAAAAAAAAAAAAAATTTACACACAAGTATTCAAAAGTAATTCAACAAAATAAAATAAATATGCATGTTTGGAACCCTTACTCCGAACTAATATCTTTATCTTTACTATATAAAAGCGCTAATCAGCACACGTGTGTAAAAAAAAAAAAAAATTTACACACAAGTATTCAAAAGTAATTCAACAAAATAAAATAAATATGCATGTTTGGAACCCTTACTCCGAACTAATATCTTTATCTTTACTATATAAAAGCGCTAATCAGCACACGTGTGTTTCCTCTACTAGTGATTGGAAGCTCCGTTTGGTTCATAGATTAGAACTATGAGATTAAAATTATTTTCAATTTACTTGTATTTTTTGTGAGAGAAAATACTGTTGTGAATCATGAACCATGATTCGAATCAGAGAACGAATCCTCCAACCAAACGGGCTCGAATCATCCCTTTTTTTTATACAATTGTTAGTCCTTTTTCTTTTTCTTTTTCTTTGTTTCTCCACTTTATTTTATCTTATCTTTTTTCTCCATTTTATATTTTTTCCCTTCTTTCAAATATGGTCCTCATAGATATTTTTCCCTTATTATTCTATTGAAATATATTTTTTCATTTATGTCCATACCTAATTTTTTTTAAGAAACTATTTCAAGTACATTTTTTATATGTTCCCAATCAAAAGTCTTCAACAAATATAAAACATTCCGGCCCTGTTTGTTTCCGTTTTCATTTTCATTTTTCACATTTTTCGAGACTAAAAAATGAAAACGGAAACATAAAATGCGTTTGGTGTAAAAATTTTTAAAAAACAAAAACAAAAAAGTTTTTGTCTTTTCTGAAAAATTGAAAACGAAAAAAAGGTATTTTCATTTTCACGTTTTCGTTTTCTGAAAACGAATTTCATTTTTTTTTCTTCTCTCTCTTCTCCAGCCGAAGAAGACGCTGGGACATCCGGCGAAAGCCTACCGTCTACGCTCCTCTCTGACTGGCCCGCCACCATCTTCTCCGACTGCCGCCCCCCCCGTTAGGAACGTTTTCAATAGGATTCTTTTCCCTTATTTATTTGTTCGATGAGAATATATTATTATTTAATATTATTATTTATTCAATATATTATTAATTTAAATATTATTATATGTTTTCAAAAATTAAACCACCAAACGCAGTTTCAGTTTTTTTTAAAACTGAAATAAATCTCTGAATAAAACTACCAAACGCATTGCAGAAATAATTCCAAAATGAAAATAAAAACGTTTTCATTTCTATTTTCATATAGAAAACAAAATCATTTTGAAACTAATTCCAAATGCACCCTCTGTTTTTAACGAATCTCCCCTTTGTGTCTGCGCGTGTTTTTTCGCCTATTTTTTGTTTTTTACATTAGTTTTTAGTCATTGACATCTTTTGCGCCTTCGTTTTCTCCTCATTTTTCTACTACTTTCTATTGTTTTTTTCGTACTACTTTCTATTGTTTTTTTTCCTCTCACTCTTTTCAATCTTATTATCATTTTAGTCCCTCATTTTTTTTTTTTTACTTTTCTTCCTTTTGCTTTTTTAGGTCTCTTTCTTTTTTCTCTTACCCTTTATTTAATCTTATCAATTTTTTTTACCACTATATCTATGTTTCTTTTTCTTTTTCTTTTGCTTTTCTTCCTTTTATTTTTTTTTTTGAATTCTCCTTTTTGAATTTGCTTTTTTAGTCTCTTATTTTTATTTTTTCTCTCACCCTTATATAATAATATTATTTTTTGCCCAGTATACATTCTGGTTTATTTCCTCCTTTCACATGTGATTCTCGTAAATATTTTTCTCTAATTGTCTTGGTGAAATAATTTTTTTCGTATTAATTGTGTATTAACTAACAACTAACTAAGATTTCATTTATTAAAAAACAATAACAATAACATAATAATCAAAACTTAATACAAGGATCAAACTTATAAAATTACCCCGACGTATAACTCTACGTAGGCTATGCGACTGACCTTGTCTATATCAAGTCAACTAGGCATTGTCCTCATCAGCTAAGCGACTGACCTCGTCTACGACCTCATTATTTTTTTAGAAAATGATGGTTTTGCCCTCCAACACTCAAACATGTGCCCACATATATACATATCTATGGAGATAAATACCATTTAAAAGTATATAAATTAAAATTTTTATTTTTTATCTTCTATTTTTAATTAATATTATTTTTACTCAAATAATTATATTAATAAAAAGATATTAATTAAAAATAAAAATAAAAATTCAGAATCGCAAGACTCGTGCATATAACGAATGTCCACCAAACGACGTTTGTAACAAATACGGTTTTGCCCTCCAACACTCAAACATGTGCCCACATATATACATATCTATGGAGATAAATACCATTTAAAAGTATATAAATTAAAATTTTTATTTTTTATCTTCTATTTTTAATTAATATTATTTTTACTCAAATAATTATACTAATAAAAAGATATTAATTAAAAATAAAAAATAAAAATTCAGACTAGACTCACGCATGTAACGAATGTCCACCAAACGACGTTTGCAACAAATACGACAACAAATATAGTCGATACCGACGTTGTTGAACCTTATTGCAGCTTTTCCCCAACAACAGACAAACAGTCCACACCTCAATCACTCACACACATACATACGGAGTGACAGTATCACCTTTACATAATAATGTAAAAACCCTCTCCTCTCTATAACACTACACAACTCTCTCTTTCTAGTTTCTACGAGCTTATCTGAGAAACATGAACGCCGCCATCTCATTCACCGGAGGCTCCAACTCCCCCGACAAGGACGGCGTCGTCGGCACCCTCGCCATCCTCCTCGGAGACCTCAAGCTCCGCGCTTCCACCACCACCACTCCCGCCTCCGTCATCGGCCCCAACAGCCTCGCCGACCTCTCGCTCTCCCTCTCCCTCGAGAAGCCTGGCTCCTTCGCCGTCGACTACGACGTCCCCACCAAAGTACTCCTTCCTCCTCCTTCTAAAATTCTCTCGAATATAGGGTTTGTTTGTAGTTTGTTTCTTCTCATTTGTTCCCCTTTTTTCTGCGCAGGACGTTCGGTTCCAGTTCATGAATTCGGTGAATGTGCTCGACAAGCGGCTCAATTTGACGTACACGCACGCGAGGCGCGCGAACCTGACGGCGCTGGACGCGAGCCTTTTGTTGAGTCCGGCGAACAAGGTTTGGGGGAGCTATGGCTTGGATTCCCGAGATTGCAAGGTCAAGTACAGCTACGTCCAGGGCGGTGTTAGGACTTTCGAGCCCTGCTATGACGTTGCCGGGAATTCTTGGGACATTTCTGTTTCTCAGAGGATTCTCGACGGCGATGTGATCAGAGCTTTCTATCGGACTTCGAGCAAGGTTCTTGGTTTGGAGTTGCTCTGGCAAGGGGCGAACAGGGAAGGAAGATTTAAGGTAATGTCTGAGTGTCTTTTGGGTGTTTGCGAAAATGCCTCTTTGAATCTGATATATAGATAGATGAATATATTCGTTTGTTTGCATAATTATTGATATAGATGTCGACAAGAAAATAGAAAATATGGATAAGGTTGCTATTTTTGTGCTGTCTGTTGATTTTATCGTGAAGTCTTTTGTTTCTCGTTGAAAAAAGAAGTTTTTTGTTCAATTAACCGTTCTTAACAAGTCAATGGAGAAAAATTTTGGTCTACATTTTGTTCTTAAAAATCTTTCACCTTCGGAGTTAAAACCGTAAACATCTCAGGTAGTTATATATTGATTGGTCTTTAATTGTTGCCTCGCAGATATCAGCATCAATGAATTTGGCAGAGGGGTTGAAGGTTCCCAAGTTGAGTGCTGAGAGTACATGGAACTTTGAGATGTGATTTTTATTTTTATTTTCTAGGAGTTTCCTTTAAGATTCATTCAGCTCACTCTTGTGCATTTTTTGTTAGTATCAATTTTTTTTTTTTCCCCTAGTTCTATACTTGAATTTCCTTGCCCGTTTATTTTATAGAAATAAGTACCTACTCAGGATGGTTTCGGTAGTTGTAGTAAACTCTCCGCAACCGTGTTTGAGCGTCAGTATATATATCGCAAATGAAAGTTCGCTGCTCTTTTTCCATTTTTTTATTTTGTTATTATTATTATTTATTTATTTTTTTTGCAAAGTTTTTTCCTACTTAGACTGACGCAGGAATTTAACAAAATATTGGACTGCCTAAACAAACTCAACTGACTCGTTCTTGTTAATGATTCTTCTTTATACCAACAATATCTGCCTTTGAACCAAGAGGGTTTATCGGAATTGAGTCAAAAACAATTGGGTAAAAATTAATGCAGTAATAAAACAAATGCATTCTCTGAGGACGTGGCTTTCCTGGATAGTGTATACACGTGCCATATTAACTCAAGAGTATCAGTATTCAAATCAAATCCTTACAAGAACCTTAGATCAGGCTACAAGATTTATTCCGATGCCCCAATGAATTGAAATCTATAAGTTTTACAAGCCAGTAATCTTCAGATTATTTGGTTAAAAATAGGCCAACCTTGACTCAGAGCAAGCAATACTACATATTTATAGCAAATTAGCAGACAAATTTGACGGGACAGGAATTGCTAGTGTTAATGTGACTGATCTTCAGACTAGAAAGAATAATTAGGATTATAATCTGCAATCTACTCTACCTGTTAATATAAAGGAAAACTTAAAAAAAGAAAAAAGAAAAAATCTGCAATTGTTCTCGTGCTCCCGCTCGTCCTTTACGTGATAATGAGTAGATTGTTTTGGTGACCATTGTTCATAACAATTGGTCGTAATGGGTCGATTCTCCATTCGCCATCAACAATGAATTTGATCTGTCAAATTTGTACTTAAGTTGATGAGATTCTCATCATGTAAGTGGTCCAATGTGTAATGATGACCAAATTATAATAAGAGAGTTGACCCACCTCATATCTGCCCGGGTATAATTGCAGCCACAGAGAGAAGATTCCTGTATTTGATTTTTCCATTTTTCTCTGCAGCAAAGTAACGTAAGTTACAAAACTTTTATTTAGTTATTTATTTATTTCCGTTCTTTTGGTGAATGGTAAGTCACAAACTATGTCCAACGAAAGTAACGAGGTCCATAATAGCAGAGCCAGTGATCCTCATAAATATACAGGTTACTACTACGTGACATTCACGGATTAAGAACCAAGCAGTTCTCTGGAATCAGAATGAGATGAGTTATTGCCAAGTCTTACATTAGAAACCTAGATATTACTCAACTATCAATGCAACCCCCTTACGTCGTGCATGGCACAATCAGTTCAGTGAGGTGTTTCTTAGTTCTACTTTCTTTTTCCACATTTCTTTCAACAATTTTAGGCATTTCCTCTTGGGATTTTTAGCTCTACTTTCTCTCACCAGCCATACATCAAAGGAGAATGCAGAACCACTCAAAAGTTAATGAGACCAGGAAAAAGGAAGATTCTTACCAGGGATAAAATCAGTTTAGTTATTAGTGAAACATGCTCTTGATACATTGTGTTTTTTATAATATTAAAGCGATACCTCAACGTTTATAAAAAAATATTCTTAGGACTCTAAAACTGATTTTTGAGATGTAAAATTACCTTAATACCCTTCTATTCATCTAATAAAAAACTAATAGATCTAAAAAAAAAAAAATGAATTTTTTTCTTCTGTTGTTTTCTTTTAAATATTTTAATGTTTTAAAATATTTTCAGATTTCTTTTAAAAAAAATACTGATTTCTATTTTATTGACAAGAATGTTAGTTTGGACATTACATAGCCCAAAAATTAACTTCAGGGTACCAAGAAGATGTTTTAAAAAACGTCAAGGTGCCCTTTTATATTATAAAAAACACAGGGTACCAAGAGCATGTTTCGCTACATTACAGGGTACCAAAATGATTTTATTCCTTTATACAATTGTTAACAACATAACCACAAAAGGAGTCCCATCTCACTATCCAAAAGAATGAAGTCTAAACTAAGAGGTGTATGCCTCAGGCCAAGGATTTTTTCTTCTAAAGGTTGACAGAAATCTGAGATTTTAAACTTACTGAACGACAACTGCTGATAAAATTCGCTTGGATGTAACGAGCCACAAAGCATGTAGGTAGACTAACATCAAACTATTGATGGCTATGCATTGAATATATCAAAAAATGTAAAAGCATAATCAATAAAGTAACTTAAAAGTTCAAGATGAGGTTATACCTGGGTTGCCCAACCATCAAATGATCCTGCTAATAGCACCTCTGAGGCTGAATTAGGCCACACTATGCAAGCAGGACGAAGAAGTCGTAAAGCTCTACGAGCATTATCAATCCTCTTCTGTTTCTCCTCCACGATCTTTTGTGCATCACTGTAAAGAATAGGTAAAATCCAAATAATCAACGGTAAAGCAACTCAGAGTCATATTTTGCTAAATTACCCCCCCAAAAAAAGTGCATACATTATTGCAAGTGCCGTCTTTCCTTCTAAGACGGCTAGCCTTGCACGCATCGACCGCAATTTATACTGGGAATTCATAATCTCATTTTCCTGAAACTCCCAAGCGTCAGATAGGGTCTGCAAGTCATCAGAGGAGCTATCATGATCCTAGAAACACCATGAAAAACAAAAAGGGATCAGCAAAATGACCCAAATCTGAAAAAGAAAGGTTGCTCATGACCCCCCCCCCCCCCCCAAAAAAAAAAAAAAAGCCACACACAAATCTTCTGGTGATCTGAAAGACCACAAGATCATTACATTAGTTCTCATTTGCTATGCAAGCAGAGTTGAAAGATACACACAAGAGGCAATGATCCAGTCACCACCTTTTGGGATGCACTCTCATCAGCATTTGACCTCACAGCTTGGAGTACAGATGAGAGCTCTATCTGTAGGTGCTGAAGGCGACTGCGTAGTTCATTGTGATTAATCAGTTCATGACGTAGACCTAACTCATTCCTTTCATTAGGATCACTATCACTTGCTCTCCACAGTTCTTCATCTTTTGGAATGTCCACTGACTCTTCCCTGCTAGTTTCGCTTGATGATATTTCAATGACTGCATCGGCAAGTAAAGGCCATTTAAACCAAAAAGTTTAACGATTAAGCTTCCAGAGAAGAAACATGCAGATAGAGTTACCTTCTGGATTAATATCTGAAAGTCCTGCCCGTTGAATGCTCCAAGCTCTCCACGATTCAGGCTTATGTGAGTTTTTTGAACTGTCGACATCAGAGGGCTCGCTCTGATTAAACCGCCCTCTTGACTCATCAAATGTTGCTTTCTTGGAGCTCAATGATGAAGACCTGCTGCCTCCGAAACAGCCACTAACTGTCTTTTACAATGTAAAAGCACCACATGTTATGTATTAGAATTTCTGTATCCAAAAAATAAAGAAAACCCAAAACAACAATAAATTTCAGAAATCAAACTTTGTAACTACAATATACAATAGCCTAATGCCGATGATGAGAGCACGTTCAATAAAGTTTTTAATTTTTCCATGAAAAACCAATTCATCTCTGAAGGATACTACTGCTCGCATGAGTTTATGTATGAAACTCCAAAAATTAAATAACAAGGAAAAAGGCTCGGGCGCGTTTGGAATTATTTTTTGTATGAAAATGAAAATAAAACGTTTTTAATCTCAGACAGAAATCATTTTTAAAAATGCGTTTGGTAGTTTTATCAAGAGATTGTTTTCAGTGTAAAAAAAAACTCATTAATGTCTCTCTTTCTCTCTCTTTACTCGAGAGAGGAGAAAACGAAAACAAACTAAAAAATCGTTTTCATTTCCGTTTTGCCTTTATTGCGCCAAACGCCGTTTTAGAAACGTTTTCATTTTTTCTTTCTCGAAAAACGTGAAAAAAACGGAATCAATTCCAAATACGGCCGAGACTTTTTTCCTCCTTTTCTAATTGAATTTTTTGTCCATAGAAAAACACTGTATTAACATCAATATGCCATCATACCGCATCTGATGAGAATCCGGAATGCAGATCGTCTTTCCCATTGTTACTCGCAGAGAAAGTACGGTCATCATGTTCTGCCACACCGAATCCAAAAGTTAAACTTCTTTCTTTCTCCAATCTACTCAATATACCTTCAATTCCAGTCTCACGATCTGCGCTTGTGTTTGCCCGTTCTCTACGCAAAAAAGTGTAGATACTAGTTAATTTTCCCTTCACAATGTACGATTAACCTAATTTCCGATATGATTAACAATTGAAACACTAGTTCTAAACAGTCGTATAGCAACATCAAAATTTATAACTTTAGTTCCTTCATTAATCCAAAATAAGAATTAACCAAACCAATTAAGCATTCAAACAACAAGAGCAAATTTATTCAAAAGTTAAACCATAATAGAAACCCTCACAATGATCTACCCGACGATGAGGCCGAGTTGGAATAATCGTACGGACTTGAAGAAACCACTTCTTCTTCGCCAGTCCAATCACTGTTCTTCTGAAAACCATCAAATTCCTCGGCCGTTACAAAACCTGAATCGAAATCTCTATCTTCTCGACCTTCTCCTCCTCCTTCTTCCTCCAAGTCCCATCCCATCGACAGCCAGCCGCCTCTCTTCACAATAGCCTCCGCCAAATCCATCCTACCGGCGTCGACAAGCTCTTTCCTGCTCGGAAACGCGTCAGGCTTCTCCGAGCTCTTCATGAACTCCAGAATCTCCGCCTCCAACGCGAAATCCCCTTCGCAGTCCCAATCTTTGCACCGCCTCACGAACCCCGACCAACCGCAATGCAAACCGCGCTCGCAGTCCCTCACCAATCCGCTGCGGCGATAAAACCCTAACAGAGCGCACCGTCGCTCGCTCCCGCCGCCGAGGACGAAGCTCAGAGGCACGAACCACCGCTCTTGCCTCCTCCGAAACCGAGGCCTGACGACGGAGAGGACCGAGGAGGGAAAGGCTTGGTGAGACGAAGAAGCGGCTAGCGAAGAGGGCGTGACCAGCGTGTGAACTGATGCGGTGGTCGAGGCGAGCATGGCTCAGGCATTTCTTCGAACACTTGGTGGCCGAGGATTCGGTAGAGAAAAGAGAAGAAAAGAAAGAAGAAAACTAACCACGCAACGAACAAAACCACTGGGAAGCGTGGAAAGTATAAATTATGGTTTAATTTTATATAATCTGACTGAGCCTATGAATGCGTGCTCTATAATATACCGTATCGGGTATTTTTGGCGGGGGAAGAGAAAAAAGACAATCGTTTTTTATTTGTTTATTTATTTATTTTTTAGTTTGGTCTGTTAAAAAAGATAAGAGTAATTTTCACATTTACCCTGAACTTGTAGGATTTTGAAAATTTGCCTATTCATTTTCTAATTTATGGCAATTTACCCTTTTAACTTGCAAATTGTTGTAGTGTGTCTCGTTTTATCGATTTTATTCAATTTTTTTTATCAGATTAAAGGATTAAGAATTTTATAATTGAGAGATTTATTTTACTATTTGAATTGAAATATTACAATTTTTCACTAAATATTTTTTTTTATTACCAATTTAACACAATTATCATTCTAATGAGGCATACATTGTAACAGTTTTATAAGTTAGGCATAAATTGTTAAAATTATTGTTAAATAACAATTTATTCTTAACTTATAAAGCATGTTTTTTCACAATTCTAGTTAAAAACTTGAGTTGTAAAGTGGCTATTACATGAAAAAAAATACTACAATAAAAAGTTAAATTTAAATTTTTATGTAAAAAAGTATTATAATAAAAAAAATTTGAGTCGTCACTCAAATTGTGAAAAGAATGTGCCCTAGAAATTCAAGGTGTAAGTTGTCAAAACTCTACAAGTTGAAGGACAAATATGCAAAATAACTAAAAAAGGGTTTCAGGGCGTGTTTGGATGGTGGATAAGATTTGTTAGTTTGGAATGCGGACAAAGAAACGAAACGGCAGTGTTTCTTTCTAATCCCGTTTGACGACAGGCTGTGTACGGCGGTCGACGACGCACCGTTTTGGGAAGCTGTATAAAAGGAAATTTCTGGAAGTTAAGTTAAAGCTCAGGTGACCCTGATAATTCCAACGTGCTTTGTTGGCTTCCTGTCAGGGGACATCTGATTGAAGTGATGTAAGTAACACAACAGATTATAAATGGGCCTGCACACATGGGATCTAAGCCTTTTATTGCCGCATATAAATTTAATAGTTTTTTATATTCTTTTTCTAAATATGCCGTGCTTGACACTTGACAGGAAAAAATAACTTTTTAAAAATTTTTATTCGTAAAATGATCACTTTTTATAAAAAATAATTAAGTGATCCTTTTTTATAAAAAATAAAAAAAATTATTTTATTAATTTTATTTTGTTAAATAGTCATTTTAACATATTTTTCACAGAAAAAGGGTCTTAAAAAAGCTTCAACTGTGTGAGTCGTTTTCTGGATAAATCCAAAAGGGGTTATTATTATACCATGATATTATTGCTTTTATCAACTTTTATGAACTGATCCTTCCCATGTTCTTGTGAAAAAGGAAACAAGTTTAAGCAATGCATGGTTTTAGCTTTTAATAATCTTCTTGTCAGATCCATTCAAATGTGAATGGTAATCTTTTGGTCTCCGTACGGTTATATAAAGCAAATTATTGAGTGCTTAACTAAATGGGGTTAACGATTCCATTTTATGGAAAACATGATTCCAATTGGGAACAAGTTGGAAAAGTTGAAGAAAGGGATAATCACTGAAATGGGAAAGCAGAATGAATATTCGAAAGATGGAAGTAAAACGTTAAAAGGGAATTCTCTAGCAACTTAAGAATGGGATAGGAAAAAAAGAAAAAAAAAAGGCATTCTTTACCGTGAGACTTAAAAATAAAACCCACCGGTTGAGCATTTTTTTTTTTTTACTGTTAGATTGATTTTTTAACAGTCAGATCTACATTAAGAATAATTTTATGTGACGTTATAAATTTTTAATACATACCTGTACAGATGTAATTGTTAAAAAATTAATTCAATTGTTAAAAATATAAGTTTTACCGGTGAGTTTTTTTTTTTTTTAGTTCCATCGTAGAAGATGTCCAAAAAAGAAGGAAAAAAAAGAGAGGTATACAACTGATTGAGGAGTGGGGAAATAGGCAAAACAAAAACAAATGTATATGTTTTTTGGTTTGGTATGAATTCTATACTCTCGTCCTTACATATTAAGAGAGAGATTAAAATATGAAAATTATTTTTAAAGGATTTGAAAATCCATTACTCACACTCCCCCTTTTTTTCTCTCCTAATCCTTCAAACAATCCCTTCACTCATCCCCATCGTTCCATTTTTCTTTTCCATCAAACAAGTTTTAAGGTAAGTTTAGGCGAAAGCATGCGTGTTCAAGTACAAACTTCTTTTCCATATGTACTGGTCTTGCAAAAAACAGCTTAAAACATAATTAATGTTGGATCGTCCTGTCAGACTATAGAATGCAAAATAGAAACTAGAGAAAAGGATAGGGATTGTTTCTGCATTCGTCTCAGATTCTAAATCATAATTCATGATTTTTTACAGTATTTTTTTCTCACAAAAAATAGACGTAAAACGAAAATAATTTTGAATCTATGAACCAAATGTCTACTAAGATTTCTTATTATTGTAATTATAGAAAATATGATTATAAATAAGCTAATAAGAAGGGGTTTGTATATATACCTACAAGCGAAAGAATAACAAATCATTATATCCTTTCTAATTAAAGAATATAAATAATTAAAACATGCCGACAAATAACCAAGCTACAATGAATAGGAAACACAAAGTAATGTTATGATCAACGATCCAATAGCAAATACTGATTATAAATATCAACAAAAGAACGTTTTGATGTGCGTCTAAACATGTTAAGCTCCGTATAAATCATGCATTTGAAAATCAACTCTTTAATATTGGTATTTCTCTAGTTCACCCCTTTTTTGCTACAGCTCAGCTCGGAGAAAGAAAAAAATATCTAAATTCTTCGATTGAGCCTGCCAATAGCTTCTGAATTCGGAAAAATCATTGTTTTGACTTTTGACTATAAAGGTCGTTTTCGTTTAGAAAATGTTGATTGGTTGTTATCTTTTTGGAGTTGGAGTTCAGAGATTCTCTTCACCTAACGAGGTATTTGCAGCAACTAAATATGTTGTTGTTGGAATGAGTTGTATGTCACCACAAGAAAATGGCATTTTAGCGGCGGCAGTAGTTGTAGTTGTTAAAATAGGAGAAGTAATCGTTACAAAAGTCATGTCGTCGCTATAAAGTTATCACTATAACTTAGTCGCTACAAATTTTTTAGGGACAATATTGTTGTAGCTATTAGTG